CTTGTATGGTGCATTTGAATGTGCATTTCATATGTTTGTTTGCATAACACAAGTTTTAAATTTTAAATATCCATGCTTGTATGATGAATGCTAGTTGTAAACTTGAAATGATGAAATGAAAAACTAGCATTCATAGGACATCTAATGATTTCATTTCCAAAGTGTTGTTTCCAAGTGGTATCAAGCTAACTATGGTGCTAAGGATGGTATAATGGTGCACTCCGATTGGTATCACGCTTCAAAGGTCCATCTTTTATACCTTAGCATCATATGGTAGACATTGTCTCCTATATTTCCTATCTAAGCATATGTGCACGCTTCAATCCAAACTCTTAGCACATATATAGGGGGAGCAATTGCTACCATTTAGGGTTCATGAAACATGTCCATATTCTTTTACACATGGTAAATATGCTTGTACAAGCAACATGGATTCAATTGAATTTTAATTCATATCTTTGTATATGGGTTGTCATCAATTACCAAAAAGGGGGAGATTGAAAGCTCTAATTTGGTTTTGGTGAATTGATGAAACCCTATGTGTTAACCTAGTTTATCAAGTGATCATGAGATAGGTAGCACACTTCAAGTAGCGGAGCAAATGAAGATCATAGCATGACAATGGCAATGCAATGGTGATGATCAAGGGCTTCGACTTGAAAAGAAGAAAGAGAAAAACAAAAAGCTTCAAGGCAAATATATCATTTGTAGGAGCTATTTTGTTTTGGTGATCAAGACACTTAGTGAGTGTGATCACATTTAGGATCGATAGCCGTACTATTAAGAGGGGTGAAACTAGTATCGGAATACGGTTATCAAAGTGACACTAGATGCTCTAACTCATTGCATATGCATTTAGGATCTAGTGGAGTGCTAACACCCTTGAAAATGTTTGTGAAAATATGCTAACACATGTGCACAAGGTGATACACTTGGTGGTTGGCACATCTGAACAAGGGTGAAGAAGTTAGAAATGAAATGGAGTTGGTTGTAAAGGATCTGGCGTCGGCCTACTGACCGGACGTTGGGTCGCTCAGCAACCGGACGCTGAAGAGGTGCGTCCGGTCGAGTTGTCGAAATGCACAGTGCTTAGGGTTAAGCACCGGACGCTGGGCTGTGTCCGGTCAAGCTTGACCGGACGCGTCCGGTCGACAAAAATAGGATTTGGACCCTTATTGGAAATGAACGGACGCTGAGGATCCAGCGTCCGGCCAACAGTGTCAGAGCGTCCGGTCAACAGTGTCGGAGCATCCGGTCAACAGTGATATAGCAACCTTGTGAGCTTAGCCAAAGCCCTCCCACTCATTTGCATCATAGATTAAACATCTTTGTGAGATTGGGAGTGATCCAAGTGCATTGCTTGAGTGATTGCATCTAGAGGCACTTGGTGATTGTGTTTTGCTGTGGATTTCGCTTGTTACTCTTGGTGGTTGCCGCCACCTAGACGGCTTGGAGCAGCGAGGATCGTTGAGCGGAGAGTCGTTGAGCGGAGGGTGGTGATTGTCTCCGGCTCCGATCGTGGTGATTGTGAGGGGTTCTTGACCTTTCCCTGGCAGAGCGCCAAAAGGTACTCTAGTGGATTGCTCATGGCTTGTGTGATCCGCATCTTATGTTGGTTGTGCGGCACCCTATTGAGGGTTTGGCGTGTGAAGCCAATTAGCGCGTGAACCTCCAAGTGAGTGTATCGCCACAACGAGGAGTAGCTTGCCGGCAAGCAAGTGAACCTCGGTAAAAATCATTGTGTTCATCATTTGATTCCGAGGTGATTGATCTTCATTGTTATTCATCTTTGTGATTGATTGGCTCCTTCCTCGACATGGCGGTATAACCTTCTTAATCACTCTCTTTACATTACCGCAAACTAGTTGTCAAGCTCTTTAGTGTAACTAGTTGTGAGAGCTTGTTAGTTTAGTTAGTGTGGCTCTTTAGTTAGCCTTTGAGAGCACACTAACATAGAGTAGTGTCATAGCTATTGTGTGAATAGATTCTACCTAAACTAGAATTATGGTAGGTGGCTAGCATTTTGAGTAGGCTAGCGCAAAACTCGCTTCGCCTTATAATTGTCTAATCCTTTTGTTAAGTGTTGTTGTAGAATTTTTATTAGGCTATTCACCCCCCCATTTAGCCATTAGGACCTTTCAGGCGCGCCGCCGTCCCATTCGTGACCTTCGGGCCGCTCCTGCTGCTCCCGTTCGACCCCGACTCGGACCGCGTCGGCTTCTACTGTGTCCCGGAGAAGAAGGTCTTGTCCAAGACGTTGCCCGACGTGCGCGGCAAGGTGGCGTGCGGCTCCTCATGTGGGTGGTTGGCGCTCATGGACGAGGCGGCGTCCGTGACGCTGCTGAATCCATTCGCCGGTGCCCGTGCCCCCGCGTTGAGCTCCCGCCAGCAGGCGAACACGTCGCGGACGCAGATGCCGCAGACAGAGCCATCAAGCTAGAAGACATGAGGGACATGTTCTTCCATGAGATCGTACTCTTGGCGCCGCCTGACGCCGCCGGCCGCGAAGTGCGTGGCCATGGCCATGCTTGGGTGCTCCACGGAGGTCGTGTTCTGCCGGGTTGGAGTCGACAGCGCATGGACGCTGCTCGACACCAAACTAGAGTTCTCCGTGGCCATGGACGCAAATCTCCGTCTGCAGCAGCAACGCCGCCGGCGCTACTCCAACCGCGACGCTGCTACCATCGCTGTCGCCACCTACGGGGTCTCTGCCACCGCAGCTACCTAGAATCAAACGGTGAGCTGCACATTGTGGGTGCCATGATGAGCACATTCCATGAGACATAGAGCTTCACCTACAGCAGCGTGATCTATAAGTGCAACCTCCACGACCGTACGCCGGAGTGGTCTAGGATGAGGGACATCGGTGATCAGACACTGTTCGTGTCTAAACATTTCAATGAAAGCTTCAGTGGAACAAGTGTATCCAAGTACAAGGAGAACAAAATCTACATGTTTGAGCCATTGTATGGGGATCCATACGACTTGGTCCATCGACTGGAGATCATTGATATTGCTACCGGCACATCCGAAATGAAGGCCGTCCAGGAAAAGATGCAGGGTTCCGAGGCTCTAGGTTGGATTCGACCCAATCTCTAGAAGCTCTAGAGTTTGTGAGCCTGCGATGCCGCGTACTCCGTGACTGTGTTAAATTCATAAACTTTGCTTTTTGGATTAAATGTCACTTTAACGTTGGTATTTAATTTAACAGTATTGTTATCTTATCATGCGATCCGTGTGTTTTTAGTATAAATTGTTAGTTATCCCGTAGCAATGCACGGGCACTCTATCTACCTAGTACATAAAAATAAACAAACATTTGAAACCAAAGCTTCACTATCTATTTGTGAATGAAGTATATAGTTTAGATATTTTCGAGACACTTCCACAGCACATATAGCTGCGTTGTCGTCCCTGCACCATTGGTAGCGTTCTTTACACTTGGTCAGCTTCAGGAAGCTTGCAGAACCACATATGGGGCTGCCGAAATTGAAAAGAAGGAAACAAAAGAAAGAAAGAAATCTTCCTTTTCGTGGTGATAATAGTATTTTCTGGATAAGATCAAGAGCAGGCAATATAATGCAATCAGAAATGTGCTTGAATTAAACTTTACTCCAAATGCTAAGATATGGACTGCAGCATCATCACAATGTGGGCCTGTGGGCACTCATCCTCAAAATTCTTTGGGTCCCAACAGCCCACAACGGTGCACACACACCCACTCGGGAACCATGGCCTAGATGGAGCCGTGCGTGTTGTCTGGCTATTCGTGAACGATTATATCACAGATAAACGTGTGCACCGGCCGGTGCTGATGCGTGCGTACTCTTGCAGCATAGCTGCTGAATTTGGGTATCTCTCCCACGATGAAAATAGCTATCTTCTAACCTTTTCTTTTTACAGGCATCCACACACGGAATGGAATTAATAAGGCAAATAAGCTTGTCACGTAGGAGTAGTTTGGTGAGGTCTCAGTGAGCTCTCCGTCGGACCTTATTCAGGCGGCTTCTGAGTCGTGACCATTGGGCTAACGCGCATGGAAGAGCTAAGTGAAATCGACAGCACGTGCTTTCCAGCTCAAGCACCAAGCAGGGATGCAGTGATCCACGAGACCTCTGGGTATGGAGCTACAGGAAAAAGACAAACGAATCATGCCTCATATCATCATCATCTACTCATTCGCCTTTACGTTAACGAAGCCCTTATTATACTGTCCTTGAATTTGAAGGGGTCAAAACACCAGCCGGAGCGAGACACTTCACTTGCCCTGCACCTGTCCAGTCAGCCGCGAAGCTCAGGACGAAGCCACCTGGACGACCCCGGCCGGCGCGGGTCGTACACCAGCTAACCCTCGCGCACTAGCTAGCCAAAAGTGGCTTTGCAAGACCTCAGATTGCACCCCTGGACCCTGGTTGCCGCGATGTGGCGAGTCCCCGTTGGCCCGGCCGTCGAAAAGCCCCTTGGCCCCCACTCTTTTGTGGTGTGCTTCCCAGCTAATCTCTAGCCGAGCGTTGAGCGAGCAGGAAACGCGTCTCGTCACGTCGTGTTTGATCGTCTCGAGAATGTTTTCACCAACTCCAGCCGGTTCCTCGGTTTTTTAAACCCTCCAGCTGAGATCCTCCATTTCAACGTAACACTGAGTCACTGAGTAGGAGTAGTCTGGCCACAATCTGTTGTCACTTTGTGCAGCTTAGCTTGTGCCTTCCACATGCTACTAGCAGTGGTCATTGCAGTGTTGTTCTGACCGCGTCCCTCGCGCGAGTGGTTGATGCAATGTAGTGCGTCGATCGATCATATCGGGACGTACGTGCTGGTTACCAGCTGGTCGATGGAGGAGTAGAAGGACCGTGTCGACGACGTGCGGCGGGCGGCGCGCGAGGGCGGAGACGCGGCACCCGGTGTACCGCGGGGTGCGGCTGCGGGCGGGCAAGTGGGTGTCGGAGATCCGGGAGCTGCGGAAGCCCAGCAGGATCTGGCTTGGCACGTACCCGACGCCCGAGATGGCCGCCGCCGCCTACGACGCCGCCGCATTGGCGCTGCGGGGTGCCGGCACGGCGCTCAACTTCCCCGACGCCGCCATGTCGCGGCCGGCGCCCGCGTCCGCGTCCGCGGAGGACGTCCGGGCCGCGGCTGCCGCGGCCGCGGCCGCGATGGCGGACTTTGGACAGCCGCCACGGAAGAGAAGCGGTAGTCGGCACGACGAGCTGCATGGTCACAGTGGTGGCGGCGGCGGCGCGGGCGTCGTGGACGAGGACGACCTGTTCGAGATGCCGCGGCTGATGCTGAGCATGGCGGAGGGGTTGATGATGAGCCCGCCGGTGCTGGGCCCTGCGGCGGCGGCGATGGAAGCCGACGAGGAAGGCGTCAGCCTGTGGGATCACTCGTGATGCGCTGGCGAGCCACACTGCTTGGTGCTTGCCGAAGTAGTGGTAGTGGGAGGCGGTGTAATGTGAGATGACGACACGCGCCACGTACCTTGTGTTTGTAAATGGAAAGCGTACATGTGGTGTGCATGAGCGTATTTAATGGTAGTCCCGGGAATACCTAACTTTTTTACAAGTTTTAGTATATATGTGTGTATATTCATATATATAAATGTATAATGGTGTATTTCTGTGATATTTTCGCTATTTTGGCCCAACATGGCCTAACAAACAACCTATCTCCTAAACTCCACCTCGCAGCACGGCCCATGAGGCCCATGAGGCCTCTCTGGATCTCCATTCCAATTTCCACCGCGGCACCCCTTCACCAGTTCACCGGCAGCACGGGAAATCGAAATCCCGAGACCGAGAGCCCCTGCGCTGCCACCTTGTCCGCCTCCCCTGCCCCTCCCATTTGAAACTCTGAAACCGGCGAACCCTAGGCGAACGAATCGACGGTGGGTCGGTGGGCAGCGCCGCAACGGCGAATCGGCGCGGCACACCGGCACCAGGCAGGGGGCGATCCCAGGCGCGCGCGGGCACAGGCGCACGGCATGGCCGGCCGCACGGGCTGCAGACACCGGCGGGCCGCGGGTGACCGGCCAGCGGGGGGACAACGGGCGGCGGGCTGGGTTACAAGTGAGGATTGAGGCCCCAGGATCTTCGACTTTGACTTTGAGCTGTCCAGTCCAGCTACTAAGGACTGAGGTAAGCACAGATCAAATTTGTTGATTGTTGTTGTTGATGATTGCTAATTTGCTATCGGTTGATGATTTACTGATTGTACGCACAATTACAGTGCTATTGGTATTCGTTTGCAAAATGAAGAATAAAAACAAATCAGTTGATTTGAGGACTTTGTGGGATAGAACAACAAAGACAAGGAAGGTGGAGTTAGGTTCTTCATCAGTGCCGCAACCAGTTACTGTGGAGAGTGATGCCTAGCCTCGAAATCCAATTGTTCAAATTGATGTGCCTATAACTAATGACAGTAAAGTTCATAATAAGTCAACAGAACCTGAGAGTGAGATAGCCAGCAATGATCCTAACATAGCAAGCACAGAACCTGAGATAGCCAACAATGACCCTAACATACCAAGCAAAGAACCTTGTACTTGGTCCCCTATCAGAGATGGTGATGACTCAAAGTATGAAAGTGATGAAGCGGTTTATGACATTGACCTTCTTTCTCATGATCCCGGAAAGAGGATTCCCATTAAGAGATATAGTGTCAATGAACAGAATTATGTGGTCAAGACGTACATTGCATTAGGGCCTTGTCAACCATGGAATCATGATTTTCCTATAAGGAACATTGGAGGTAAGCCTCGGCGCTTCTTGCCTGATTGCTTTGATGAATTTAGATGGCTTGAATATAGTGTGGAAAAAGATGCAGCATTCTGTTTTGTTTGCTATTTGTTCAAGCATAAACTTAATAGTTCTGGTGGAGATGCTTTTGTGAATGGGGGGTTCAGAAATTGGCATACGAAAAAAGAGGCTTAGTAGGCATTGTGGTTCTATGACTAGTTTGCACAAAATGGCTCAAGAGAGATATAATTCTTTCATTACACCTAAGAGGATGTTGGGTGGGAGGATTTCCTTAAAGAAGTGGACCCATTTTGTGTCAAGAATAAAATCAAAATACCCGATATGGACACATTCTACAAGCCTATTGGAAGAGATAGGAGGTTCTTTATCAAGATTAAAAATCTCCATCGTTTCCGTGTTGACATGTTCTTCAGTGTCATTGATAGGCAGCTTCTGGAGTTTAATGAAAGGTTTGATAAGGTAAACACAGAATTGCTTATTTGCATGGCTTCATTCAGTCCTATCGATTCATTTGCTGCTTTTGACAAAGACAAATTGGTTAAGCTTGCTGGATTTTATCGTAATGATTTCTCAAGCTTAGAGTTGCTCCATCTTCCCGCTCAACTCAATTTGTACATTACTGACATGCGCAATGATGAAAGGTGTAGAAATGTGAGAAGTCTTGCTGAGCTTTCCATTAAGCTTGTTGAAACAAAAAAGCATGAAAGACATAAAGTTGTTTACAGGCTTTTCAAATTGGTGCTAGTGCTTCCGGTAGCAACTGTAAGTGTTGAAAGAGTATTTTCTGTCATGAATTATGTCAAGAACAAATTGAGAAATAAGATTGGAGATGAATACTTGAATGATTGCTTGGTTACATTTATTGAGCGGGAGTTCTTTCTACAAGTTAAGGACAAAGACATCACCAATCGCTTCCAAACCATGAAGAATCGCAAGATTAAAGCAACATTATAGTATTCTGTAAGTTCTCTTTATTACTAGCTGAATAATTTGTTATTTAATTATTTTTGTGACTTCAATTATCGGTAATTGTACTGCTCTGAGTTGTATTTTAAACCTATGGATTGGAAAAAAAATTATGTGAAAGTGAAAATACCCAAGTTTTAAATCCTGGCTCCGCCACTGGTGGTGTGGGATCACGCACGTATAACGAGTTTGCTAAGTACTCATCATCTCGTTGTCACTGTATATATTATATATATTATACAAACGAAGTACAGTCAGCCTGGATCTACAGTTTTGAGGATCCTCCGGCAAACATGACACCATGAGCCCTTTAGGCTAGTTTTTTTTCATTGGTAACATGATGAACAAAGCATTTAGTAGTACTATAACAGTTAATGTGCACCATGTATTTAGTTCATAAAAGACAATGGTATTCGACAAAAGAAACTAAAAGAATGGTAAAATAATGTATATGGTTACCTCAAATAAGAGTATAAGACAATAATTCTGAAATGCCTTTGAGATCAATGTTGTCTAAGACATTCTTCTCAATGATGTATATAGCCAACCCATTCGATCTTTCTTCTTGTATAGTTGACCTCAGGTAAAATTTCAATAATTTTAATTTAGATACGAAACGAACAATTATCTCACTAATCAGTGATCTACAATGAACGAATAGGCTGGGATGAGCAGCAATTATGTCAATTGAGCACACCAGACGTGGATCAGTAGATGGTTGGTGCCTTGACCTTAAACGATGACAGTTGCATAGAACAGAGGCGTGAGGCGAGTGAGGAGCCAAGAAGAGGAGGGATATCAGAGCATCTCCAAGATGTTCTAAATCTTTCAATGATGTCCGGTTTAGCTATTTACGCATGAAAAACGCCTCCAATATCCTCTCTATTGGCTTCTCTAATTTTGCCCATTCTGTATTCCGCGACTTCCGCTCGGAAGAAAAGAAGAGTGGCACTTGCTCGCCATCCTGCCTCACTGCTTCCCGCGCGCACTCCTCCGCTTCCTGCGGCGGCCAATTTCCACGTTGTAAGGAAAATGGACCCTAGACCCATTTACTTTGGATTTTGGTGTTTGATGACCAACACAACCAGATTAGACTAATAAATTTACAAGTGATTGTTTTGTAGTTCAATAGGGTGTAAGATGTGACTTGGACAAAGGCGACATGGTGATCCCACGATCAACACCATAAGCAAAACCTTAGAGGCACAAGAGAAGACCCAAGATATCAAGCAAAGTCCAAGCACTAAGATTGGAACCAAGCCGGACGCAAGATCGTGAAGAAACGAGCTTCACAGAGGTGACCGGACGCAACCCTTATAGGTACCGGACACGTCCGATCAGTTGCTCGGCAACAGCAGGCATCAGCAGCAGCGACCGTATGCTGAGGACTGAAAGTGACCGGACACACCGATGGCACTGTTCATCATCCCGGCAACACACTCAGCACTGACGGCTAATCGACCGGACGTAGAAACTGCAGCGTCCGATCGAGTACAGAGAGGTTCCAGAGCAGCGAAGTTGCGACCGGACGCCATCAGTGTCCGATCAGTTGATCACGCGTTCTAACGGCCAAGACGACCGGACACGTCCGGTCAGGATGACAGCAGCGTCCGGTCAGTAGCAGAAATGCGGGATTTCATCCCCAACGGCTACTTTCTCAGTGTGGCTTATAAATAGACCCCCAACCGGCCATTTGAGATGAGTGGAGCTAAGAAAACATATCAAGGGTGTTGACACACCATTTTAGTGATCTTCACTTGCACAGTGCTTAGTGATTTATTAGGTGATTAGCGTAGGTGCTTAGGTTGATTAGACCACCGCTTATGCGCTTGCTCTAGGTTTAGGCCTAGTGTTTAGTGAGGTTTGCATGCCTCTTACCACTCGGTGCTTGCGCGCACCATTGTTGTACTTCATAGGGGCTTGTAGTCTTGCGAGATCACACCAATCGCGTTTGTGGTGTGGCCGCCACCGTGGACCGAAGGGAATAAGGCCCGCGGCGGTTCGGCCGGAAGCTTGATAGTGAAGACGGCGGGAAGCGGTCCGGGAGAGGCTTGTCGGAAGGCACACCGGAGACCCACTTGCACGTGGGAAAGGCCCGGTGCCATCCACGGAGTTACCCGACCGGGAACTTGGCCCTTGCGAGAGATACCTTGCGAGGGGCTCCAACGAGGATTAGGGGGAAGCTTGCGCACTTCTCGATACCTCGGTAAAAATACCGGAGTCGTCGACGGGAGTTTATATATCTCTACCTTACTCTTTAGCTTCCGCATTTACATTGTTTGCATAACTCCTTTTGCGGTAGAGATAGCAATACACTAGCAAAACCATAGTTGCACATTTAGATAGTTTATATTTTTGCATAAGTTTTGCTAAGGTTAGAAAAACAGGCCATGGCTTTGAGTTAGAATTTTAAGTTGCCTAATCCCCCTAGGTGTCTCGATCCCCTTTCACACGCGCAATTCCTCCTTACTTATGTTGTGGCCTTTCCCACGCATCCTCATTTTTTTTCTCATGCCATCAACAGTCGCGTCCCATCCGCCGCCCGTTTAGCGGGCTCCCGAGCAACTGGCCTCCAAGAAGGCAAAAATGGAGCCTTTATGTATCTTTAATATGTATTTAGTTCAAACTTTAGCTTAAACTTAGTGGTTTTTACTGTAACCTATACCTTCTAAATTTTGATTTTTAAATTTTAATCTTATTGACTGCAACAATTTTATATCCTCGCATTAAGTTGAAACTCTTGTGTTTATTACATCTTTTTTAACTATCCTTTTATACTTTTTAATAGGCTGTAGACTACACTCTTAATTAGTATGATGTCATAAACATTCATTTAAAATATGCACCACGTTGCTTAAGATCAGTGATAGAGTGTGAAGTGAGATCTAGGATGGAGTAACAATGCTAATCTTGAGAGGATATTAATATTTAAGACTTATAATGATGGTTTGATATAAAGGAATATCAAAGGCCAGGAATAGCCACCTGTAATCTGCACTAAGCTCCTTCACCTCTCAAGATGTTTCAATTTTCTTATCAGGAAGTATATGACCAGTAATGGTTATACTACCAAATCAATATAATCATATCAATCAATTTAATTAGAATTTTCAATATATCTAAAGTAAAAAAAAAAAAAAAATGTCATGATTATTAATAAAAATTATTAGTGTATGAGTAGTTAAGATAATATTTTTTACGATTGCTAAAACATAATATAAATAGATACTTGAAAGCTCCATTTAAGTTATAAAAACTCTTGTTGCATCACTTTATGTGCATCATGAACCTATAGTTTAGTTTTCAAGTTTTAGTCTAGTTATTGCAATTTTTATTCACGTGTAAAGTGGAAACTCTAGTGTCTATTGTATCTTTTATTTAAATTTTTATTTTTTAAAAAATTATAGGTCCTAAGATTACTCTTTTAGTTCTTAAAATGGTATAAATAGTTGTTTCAGCTTGCATCACATCACTCACACATGTTGAATTCGTTAATCATGGAATTGTAAGTGTAGTAGTATTGTTTCAAATATATATATATAAAGCTTAAAATTAGATTAGCATTATTAATATGACATAATGTATAAGTCAAAATGTATAAAACTATTTTAGTAAACAACTTGTGATATTTAGATATAACTTAATGTGATTGGTCATTATGATTCATATGTGTTTTGTTCAGGGAACATTTTTCTCACGCTTGTAAAGGGAACATTTTCTGCGCTAACACTCCTACTCGAACCGCCGCTTTCCTCTACTCCTCCACCGCCGTCGGGGCTCACTAAGACCAGGGCTCGCCGGCCCACTGCCACCTAGGCCAAGTCTGACACACCTCCCTCTCCTCACCATCGCAGGGGCTCGCCGCCATCACATCGCCTAACACACCTCCATCTCCTTCTCCTCGTGTTGGTGCCAAGGAGACAGTGTGTGATGACGTTAAGGCGGGATGACCTCGTCCGCTTCTTCCTAGGGTACAAGTTGCTCGAAATCTCACGAGAATATTCTTACTGAAAATTATCCTATTCCTATCCCTCAAATCAAACATTAGTGAAAAGAGTACCATTTCACCTCGTCCTCTCCCGTCACTAGAACCAAACGGGACCTAAGGACCCAACCCGAGCATACTTTGTTGTACACATCGTGATCATTACCATATTGACCTGCTAATAAGGCGCCAACCTCCGGATACTGCGGTGGACAGAGAGGGTTTAAAAGAAAATCTAATCGTTTGCGACGTGCCAGTCATTTATTTGTCTTCTGCCCCCCTGATTTGCCAGTGGTTTCTTTCTTGCTGATTGCACTCTGACTACCATGCAATTTCAACTGGATCAGGGCAGCAGCCGTGTGTGATGTGTCTACCAATTCGCAGACCTACCCTTTTTTGTGTTACATGAATTTTTTAAGCGGGCAGATGAAGGTATTTTGATGTTTTAGTACCAAAAAAACTGTTTCCAAATCCTAGAACAAAGTCCCCAAACTAAGGGTCCGTTTGGTTGGGCTTTTAACTTTGGCTTTTAGCCTCAAAAGTCAAAAGCCCAACCAAAAGGGCTGTTTTTGGAGACTGCTTTTTCAGATACAGCTGCTTTTCCGTAGTACATTTTTGAAAGCTGGTTTGACCCTGCTTTTGCTTTTGGCTTTCTGCTTTTCGAAATTGGTGGAATAAAAAGCTCTTCCATAGTTGTTTCAAGAGAGATAAAGATAGAATGTATATTTTATACTTGTTTAACCAAATAGCTTTCAACTTTTCTACAGCTCACAGCCCACAGCAGCTTTCCCATAACTCACAGCCCACAGCAGCTTTTTCCCACAGCCACAGCTCAACCAAACACACCCTAAAACCCAACATAGGGGAGAGGCATGCGTGTTAAACAGAAGCAGACACATCAAAGTTACTGGCACGGTGCCAATGAAATTCAGGTGCTCGCTGCTTCCAGGAACCAGCGAAACGCGGCCCCAATACTCTACTACTCTTACTCTATTACGTATTACCAGCGCATCTGTCCAACAAGACATGCCGTGTGCTGTGCTGTGCTGTGTTGGCCGTACGTCTCCACAGGCAGACGCAGCTGCGGAACCAAAGGTCAAGCGGCGCGGATGGAGACGACGTGCCGCTGCGCGGCAGAGTGCAGGCTACAACAACTGCTTCCTGAACTCGTCACGAAGTACTTACTACACGGCGACCCCACAGTGCTGTCAGACAAACACCACAATCTTGACGTGATCATAGTCCAAGAGCATGCATGCACTTGGCCTGATCATTGCCCGCCGTGCATGTGCATGGACCGCGCGCGAGAGAGGAGGCAGCCAGTAGTGGCGACCTTAAAGCGCCTCTGGTTCCATGCCGGTGCCGGTGCCGGTGCCCGTGCATGCACGCCACAGCTACCGCCGGTTCGGTTTGAGCTCGGAGCCGATCCATCATCACCTGCACACGCGCATTCGAAATTGAAAATGGGTGAGTAGATCGTTCGAAGTCGAAAGACCGGGTTAATAATAAACGGAGCATAATCACCGAGGACAAGCGGCAGCCGGAACTCGAATCTAGAGACTAAAATAACACGCAGATTCAGATTCTCCGTACGCGAGGCAGTCAGCTGGAGTTTGACTCGTAGCGGCGGTAGCTAGGCCTAGGCAAAGGAGGTTATTACAGTACAGGAGTGAATTGAAATCAACTGGCTGTCGCGAATCGAATCGATTCGTGACAGCGCCAGCCAGAGGTCCAGAGCTCGCGCGCGGCCGTGGAAACCGCGCCGAAGGTTCCTGCGGTCAATGCGTGCTGTTCGATGGTGATTTAGAGTAAAAGAACTAACTAATCCTCGCCATCATCCATCGTAAAACAAAAACCAGCATTGACACAGTGCAAGGCTGGCTAGAATAGGACACGGTTACAGTTACAGCCGTCGGTCTCGATCTTAACATTTCTTACCTGCTACTAGTTACCGCCATGCGCAGCTTCTCTACGTTTAAACGGGGTCAATTTTTTTTTTTGAAATAGTAAATGGAGTCAATGTGGCGCGTCCTGTGCTAGCTGTCCCACATAGGCACAGAGTGACAGAGCAGACCAAACCAGAACAGACCGGACACACGCGACCGGCTTTTTCATCGATCGGTTGCTGGAGTACACTGCTCGTACGTGACCAGTAAACAGCACAGTTTGGTGCAATCATGGACTGGACTGGACCCCAGCACCTCATTCACATTTTCACTTGCTTTTGCTGCAGATGTTTTCGTGAATCCTCATCAAACCGATGGTCATGCGCAAGCTATGCAGTTTATTTAGTATGCATTGGCTTAGGCCTTAGCTAGGTACCAACTACCGAGTGCGGCGAGCATCGGCGCGTTACTACTACCAGTCTACCACTGTCGACCCGGCAGCGTCCAGTTTCGTCGAGTACAAGGCAGCCGCGATCGTGCAGCAGTGCCTGCCTGGTCCAAGGCTCATCAATTCATTCATGTACGCAGTTAGGCACAGAACCATTGCCATTTGCCACCCCGGGAGGGTGTGAATGAAACTGATTACCATGGCACCCGAGTAGCTAGCAGGGATTGCAGGAGCAACATTGCCCGTGTCGCGGCGGGGCAAACGAAGAAGCACGGAGAACACTAGGCGTCTCGTCACGATCCCCCGTGCGTTTGGCATATTTAACCCGGGGCCGCACGCGAATGCTCCCACCCTCGCTCTCACGCCCACCCACGGCGCGCGGCGCCACGCCCCGCCCCCTGGCCGCTAGGCGCTAGCTGATCCCCGCTCAGCGCTGACCCCTCGCCTCGCCTCGCCTCCGCCAGTCCGGAGCCCGGAGCGAGCGAGCACCTGCTCCCGCATCAAGACAAGCTTCAACTCGAGCATTTGTTTATGCCCGCCCACACGGGCACGGCCAGCCACGCCGCGGAAGCTGCCCGGCACCCGCGCGCCCGCCCTGCCGGCCCTTAAAACCCACACGCGCTCGAGCGCGGATCATCGGTGCCTAGCACAAGTTGATTTGACACACACGCACCTGTGGCGACCGACGTTTAGCGAGTGCACGCGTGCAGTGACCGGCGATCGACACACACACACACAGGCCACAGGCGCGGCGATGGCTGGCGCGGGTGGGACGCCGCCGCCGCCGCTGAGGCTCAAGGACCTCCTGGAGCTGGACTGCGACTCGTGCAGCGCCGCGGGGTTCCGCTGCTACCCGCGCCGTCTGGGCGAGTCGTCGCCCTCCCTGCGCCTGCGGCGCCGCCGCCCGAGCAAGCTGTCCCACTTCTCCAGGAGCCTCTCGCGGCGGTTCAGCAGGCGTGGCGGCTTCTGGAGTAGGCGCCGCGACGAGGAGGAGGACGAGGACGCCGCGGCGGCGAAGATGGCCGCGTCCGCCGGCTGCGGCGGCTCTAGTAGCTCCGAGGAGCTGGAGACGTCGTCGGAGTCCAGCGACAACTACTCGTCCGGGAGGACGAGTAGGGGGCGCGGTCCGAGTCCGACTCCTCGGACTTCTCGTCGGCCACCGAGGACAGCGTGCACCATCATCCTTCGCAGGCCGCCGCCGGAGACGAGCACGAGGTAACGTAATTCCTGATTGCGGTTCTTTCATCTATATTTGTGGCTCAATTACACACTACCATTGCCGCGCATTATGCTCCAATAATTGGGCGTTAATTCAGTTAGGGCGTCTCGTCCGTTCCGGTACCACCGTCTTGCTTTCGTTAGTCGTTATTACGCACTTAAGGTAATGATAAAGTGGATTTAGCCATGTAAAATGATCACGGAATTGAAGCCAAGCCCCACACATTGATTCCACAACCAAATGCATAGCACTAGCTAACCGCACGCGGTGTGCTCATTGATGCGGATCTTGTCCATCGATCGACTGTGCCTAGTATCTACTTGCACGAAGCAGCCATTGACGCACGGCGAGCATGTGCTACACGGCCCTCCTTGACCTTGTAGTTGTCCGCTGTTGAAAAGTAAGTATTATGCGTGCGTGGGGCTCATGAGTCATGACGGCACTGCCAGCTCATGAAACATTACTCAGCCGCAAGCACCCGTGCTGATCGATCGATGGAGACGACCGGTCGGGATTGCAGAGAGGCCTCCATCTGTCCTGGACCTGGGACGAACTAAAGGTCCGGCCAAAACCTGAGTGCTGGACGGTGCCTTGCTGACCTGTGCTTCAGTGAGAATTTTGCCTTGCAATGCTGCTTACCCTCATGGCCTGTCCTGACCTGGAGGTCGTGGACTAGTAAGGTGCGATCGAGAGCCATCTTTTTGAGACAGCTTTTAAGTACGCGGTACTAGTTGTCTCTGGCCCTGTCCGTAATAATAGGCGGTCGGTGCAGTGAAAAATGAAGGATCACTGTCCATCTACCGCTGCAAACAGCCTAGCGCTCAGTCGCTCACTGTATGGCCACCCACCCAAACCGCCCTGTTCAGTGTTGAACTGCACGCCGATGCTGCCCGGGCGGCCCAGCGTCCTGCTCCTGCCTCCAGAAGCCAGCGCTGTCGCCCCGTGCTGCTGTCTGTACGAAAAGTTCAGTCCACGGCACCACCCCGCACGGCGACGCCAGCCCCCAGCCGCGCGCGCCCTCCTCCGCTTTGCTGCTCGTTCCGTACGAACGGCGGCTTGGCCTTGAGTCGCTGTTGCGGTGCCCAATTTATTTACAAGGAGTTGTTGCTGCATGCTGCTATATGTTATGTTATCAGCGGTTGCTCATGTAGTCTGCCGTGCAAGAATGCAGGTGGTGGCGATGGAGAGGGTGGTGTCCAAGGAGGGGTCCAGCTCGGGGTCGGAGGCGGACGACAAGGAGCAGCTCAGCCCCGTGGCCGTCATGGACTTCCCCTTCGACGACGACGACGAGTTGACGGACGCCGGCCTCGTGTGCTCCCTGCCTTCTTTCAGCCTCGCACGTCTCCAGAGTAAGTGATCATCATCTCTAAGCATGTATATTTGATAAATATAAAATGGTCGCAGGAAGAACACAAGCAAGATGTACGAATCAGGCTGAGGTCATGCGCGGTGACAGTTCGGAAAAATGTACCACGTAGAGCAGAGGCACACAGGCACTGAGCAGTACTGTTACATGCATAGTAGTGTTACTGTATTCGTCGGGCAGTGCCGGGCTCTAGCTACTCTGTTCCTGTCTTTTGCCCGGACAGGATACGGACATCACAAAAGCCGTGCCAAATGTTTAGTACAACTGTCGGACACGATAGCTAGGGAGATCCTGCTGGACCCACATCACCAGTGACGATCGGAAAGAGGCAAGAGCTGCGTGTTCGTGTTCGTGTTCGTGTAGTCTGACCATCATGTGATTAACCAATGCAAGCAATCATCCACGTACTTATGCTTAAAACCTTTGTCGTGCAACAGGGAGAAAGACGCACAAGATCCGACGGTTCGGGAGCCGCGACGAGCTGGCCCCCCTGGATCTCGAGGCGCGCCTCGCCACCACGTCAGACCCCGACGGCCCCGCCGCCGACGTCCCACCGCAGCAGCAGATGATCCATTGCCGTACAGGAGACGCGGCAACGCCGACGTGCGCAGGCAGCGTCGTCCACGACGTGCCAGACGAGGTCGACGACCTTATTTCGCTGCTCATGGGCACGCCGGTATCGGCCGACTTGGACGACGTGTCCGAACGGCTTCTGCTCGACTTCTTCGTGGAGATGAAACGCCGGCGCTCGGAGGCGCACGACGCCGAGGCCGAGCTCCTCCTCGCTGGGCCGGCGGCGGCCGGTGGCGTGCTGCGACGGAAGGCTGAGCGGGTCGTAGACGGCGAGGCTGCTGTGGCCGCAGCGGCCAGGGGCTGGTTGGAGGGCATGGGAACCGAGCGATGGGGCTTGGCGGACGTGCTCAGCGGCGGGGCGGCCATCGTGGCGGAGATGGAGCAGGGCCGGCGGTGGATGCAGGTCGGCGAGGAGGAGCGGGAGGTCGGCGCTGTGGTGGCGGGGATGCTGGTGGATCAACTGGTGGGCGAGGTGGTGAGGTGTTTGTTTGTGTAGGTTTCTTTAGATGTGAACTTAGCTTGTTGATGTAAGTAACGTGGAAGGAAATCGAACATGTCCCAAATGATTAGTAGAACTAGCTTTGGCTGAATTGCATGGGCGCGTCAGAAGACCTTCATGTCGGAGGAAGCGAGCAATGCCGGGAGGGGTACCAACCTCAGAATCTGTTTGGCACGGCAGAAGCAGCAGCTTCTACAGAGAAACCATACCAAACATTTCAAGAAGAGCCGTTTTCTAGTGGATATTGCAGGAGCCCGAGTCATTTTGGAAACTAGAGTTGTAAAGAACGACTCCTTCTCAAGTGATCCGGCTTCTCTAAAAGATCACTTAAGGAGAAGCCGTGTCAATCAGACCCTTATCGATAATTGAGGTTAACATTCTAGCTAAGGGAGCGGCCATCATCAAGAGCTCAAAGATAATATTACACGCTGTTTGGTTTGCTGGATTAGGTGGTTTCGGTCAGCATGGTTCTGGACGAGGCAGCCCCTTGCTTTTCTGGCAGACGAGCCGAGTCCGAGAAATATGAAACTTCATATAGCCCCTAGCATCCGCGCGACGAGAGCGCTGCAGCTACTGTACAGTTACTGTTTACGCATCGGACGCCTCCACGTGCCTCGTGCGTGTGTCCGCGTCTTTTTGCTCTATCCCGGTTCATTCAATGCCGCCGCCTAGGGCCTCTGCGAAAAAAAAAAAACCCTCGGAGTGCCTCGACGCCTCCGCTTCATCCTCTTCCCCTCCCCCAGCTCCCGTGGAAAGAAAAACGCCTCGCCGCCTCCGCCTCCATCTCCCCACCGGCCGCCACGCCCCTGGATGCCGCGCCTACCTGCCTCGCCGTTGTCTTCCTTCCTCAGATCCACTTCACCTCCTCCCGTTCCCCAGCTGGGTCCCGACCCCGACCCCTGCGCCTCGGCGACGCCGTCGTCCTCCCCAGGCGAGGTCGCCGCCTTCCTAGCGCCGTGGCCGCCTCTTAGGCCCCGAGCCGGCACGTCGACCTGGGCGGCCCTCTCTCTCCTCTTCCCCCTCTCTCGCCGTTCCTCTCCTGACGTGGACGGAGCGGCAGCGGCCTCGGAACGCGGCGCAGCCCCACGCGTGCGCCCCGCCGGTGGCTGTCCCCGGCCACGGACCAGAGTGGCTGGGCCTCGCCGGTGGCTTCCGCCGCGGCTTCCCCCGGCGCTGCCTCCTCCAGGCGTTTCATTTGCCGTCCACGAAACCCTAGCTTCCTCGCTGCCGGCGGCGGCTGCTCAGCTCGGGGGCTGTATCTGGCGGTATGTGACCATCTTGTTTCATACTTCCCCTCATGGCTCCTCCGGCAGATCCCCTCTCCCTTGCGGACATGCGCTGGCCGGCGTGTAGGTTGCGACATCCACCATATCTCCTCGGTCCTTGTGCTCCCGAATCCCGGCAAACGAATGGTTGGCTGTCGCGCGCTGCCGCGGTTGGCGAGATGCAGCGGGTACCCTGCGCTACGCGCCTATGCCAGGCCGCTGGCCCCCGTCCGCTGGTGCGGCCTCTGCCTGCGGTCAGCTGGCCTGTTGGCCTGCACCTGCCACATGCAATTCTTTGGTACTGGATAGTGTCTCCGCATTTGTTTCCTATAAGCGAAAGCAAATTAATTTGGAGATAGTGACATAGTGCTACGTTTCCTATTGTGCAGGTCGGCTTCATGCTTCATTAAATTGACCGGCCCTTGCATGGTGCTTTGTGCATTGTTAAGAGAACCCTGCAACTGAATATGGTAATCCTATTGCTTCCATTCTTTTATGTGTCAGATTGGATATCTGCAGCTGAAAAAGTGAATGCTTATTGACATCTTTGTTTGTTCTTCTAGGCGCTCATCTTTTATGCTTTCTGCATTGTTAAGAGTAGCATATTTTCCCTGTTTTCATTCTATGTAATGATGTTTCATTTATTGTGACAATATTGCTTTGTTCCTGTGAGAAAAAAAACCAAATCCAGAAGCAATGGTTGCTGCCTTTTTTACTCCCATTTTGATGGGCGATTCCATCTCCTGTAAACTGTTCAGATTTAGTGCAGTTACCTCATTGCTTGGTGCTCCTACATCTTGAGATGAACAGGCCATTTGTTGGGCATCCAAAGGTTCGTCTTCATATGCTTTAAAATTTGCACCCTTTTTTTGGTTATATTACCTCATACTATGTTATACTTTATTGGTTGGATTCGTGCTTTTGTTAGATGGTGACTACTGTCGCCAATTCTCCCTGTTGCACAGGTGCCTCCTATTGGAACATGTTGCCTCAGAGGCTGAGGCTGAGAGAAACCTAGCCAAGGGGGTTCTAGGCCTCAAAACATGAAACATTACTCAAAACATGAAACATTCGGCCTCCATTTCACATCCACGACCGTTTTAGTCATTAAGGAAAGGCTAATTGTTTATGTTAAAATAGAGGCTCCTAACTCACATTTTTAGATTTCCATCCATGACACAAAAAAGGTTGACATGTACTTTCAGAACTGATTTCTTTTTTCATCTTCGCTATGGCATTGTTTCTACATGATTTATTTCAAACTCTGCTATGCCGACATACCTCATATTTTGGTTAGACATATACTCTTTAATTTAGAACTACCAAAATGAAAATTCGTCCTTTTGCATGTGATTTGACTGATCTGAGTACTGTGCAGAAATAATTCCATCTTTATTAGTTGACATTCCTTTATTATATCGACATTAATCTCGCATCCCTTTTTTTATTTTTGGTTTGCTATAGTAATCGACATCGACATCAAAACATGTATGATTTGCTGCAGCTTGATTCCAGATATAATCATTGATGGCCATAGTGTTAACGGGTGTCCCAGGTATCCCGGCCTTTTTTGGCATTGTCCCTTGACTGATCTTCATCTATGGTTTCTATAGTAATCGACAACAAAAACATATATGCTTTGCTGCAGCTTGAATGTTTGATACCGAAGGGAGCACATCATGTTCCCAATGAATAATAAAATTCAAAAGATTCACAAATCAGGCTAGAAGCGTACAAGGTACGCATGATTTTCTTTAATTCCTATATATACAACTGAGCACTGATATGATGTGTTGGTCTATCCTCTATGTTGCTCCAGTATTATGTATGAAAGCTATCATCTCCTAAATGGGTATATGAATCATGAAATATCATGTATGCTTTACTGCAGTTTAGTGAGCTACTAACAAAAACCACTAACACCTAATCACTAAAACAACTACAACTACACTACTTTAGCGTCCTAATACATCCAGATGTTTTTCTTAGCAAAGGTTGCTCATCATTGCTATTTTATATGCAACACATTACTATGCCTTGCTTCGTGCAACCAACTAATTTGTATTACTAATGCAGGATGCAATAGGTGTTATGTTACTGCATAATCACATAAATGGAAGATCAGGAGATTGGTTGTTAGGTTCACTGGTCTACCAAAAATTCTCAGAGTTGACCTTATCCTTCTTCATGAGGAGGTAACTATTCTTTCCCGATCCTCTTTGGTTTAATGTAATTTCTGCTGTCTACATTATTTTTATTACAGGGAAACTCCATGCAAGGTCAGAGTTTAAAAAGAACTGGCTAATTATAAAAGTTGCTAACCTAATCCCACATCCAAACCTGGCCCCAAATAACCATCTAGCCCTGCTAAATAGCAAGGATGAGCGCTTGTGATAGGTATCTAGAATACTTACCTGAATTGATTTCGATCTAGGTTTCAGCTTAACAATAATCATCCAGTTCCTGAATGTCCATTTATCTATTGCAGGGGCAAACGAGGATTGATGCTGCCAAGTTAAGTTTTATAAAGCCGTTGTCATTGATTATTGCTGCCAAGTTAGGTTTCATAGGCATATCATCATCAAGTTTTAGCGTTTTGCCTCCGTTTGTCCCAGGTAATACTCAGCCTTGCAGAGTTCCAGGCATTATCTGCGCCAAACAATGTGCTACCATATGTGGTAAATGTACACTAATATGGTAGTTACTATCACATAATAGCATTACATGTTCAACAGAGATTCAACTAATAGCCGTCACATAAATATCATGTTTTTTACTCAGCTACTTATGGTGATTTTGATCCTGCAGGCTCTATATGGTTGTTTTCGATGAGCTTATGCCATCTTCGGTTTTTGTGATTATTTTTAGCCTATGTTGGTAGAGGCAGCGGCTTGGTTACATTGGAAGCCATTTGGTTGATCTGATAGAGAACAAATTGTATACTATAATGGTCAGTGCAAACTAATTAACTAAAACATCGGCTCCTACAGACTGACAGAATACGGGCGCGGCGAAGCGCGCCTGTCGTCCTAGTGAATTACAGAAAGGATCACCTGATGCTACATGCGACGGCTCCATGCTTCAATCCAAACAAATTGCCAGGTTCAGATATAGGATCGGATGGCTCCGGAGCCAGCTCGTGATCCAATCCAAACACGCCATTACTAAATCGGCTACTGCTACCCTTGAGATGGAAATGTTTAAATTAAATAGGCAGCTACAGTCTAGCGGCAGTCCGTCTCTCATCTGCTCGTCGTCATCTACCCCCAGCCACGCCGCACCGATTTTTCCTGAGATTCGTCTATATCTACCACCACTGTATTCGGGGAAGACCAAGCTCCAGCAAATTATAAAAAGAACTGCAATATGAGAGATTAAGGCTGCTCCAACCGATTACTTAGAGCGTCGCCAGTAGATATTCTATCCAATCTCTTATAGCTAAAAATAGTATTTTAAGAGATAGAGGTGTTACAACAATCTCATATAGTCATATGCCATCTTTATAGTATTTAAGAGATCTCCTGAAAGAAGCATCTTCCCTAAGTAAAAAAGAGAGCCCCTCTCCTCTATTCCTAAATAAATATAGGAGACAAGTTTTAAGTAATTTGATGTAGTAGTAATCCTAAATTGATTTTAAAGTACTTTCTTATAAAACAACTTATATACGATGCAATATAAGAGATCTGGTCAAGATACTCTTGTCCTATTCGCAATACCTAAAAGTTTTAGTACCTAAGAGCACACCTTTTCTCCCTATATAGATCTATCCACTCTCTCCTATTCACTTGTAAAAGAGTAAAGACATTGGTAATGTTTTAGGAGGTCCTATTCACAATACCTAAAAGTTTTAGTACCTAAGAGCATACCTTTTCTCCCTATATAGATCCATCCACTTTCTCCTATTCACTTGTAAAAGAGTAAAGACATTGGTAGTGTTTTAGGAGACATAAAAAGTTACACTACAAATAATACGATATCACTTATATAGACTTTTAGAAGATACATGATAAGTAATCTATCTAGGCATCTCTATCTCCTCGTGTCTCATTTTTTGGATTGGGATTGGTAAAAACACATTCCGTTGATCTGATTCCTAACAATTAGTTCATTTTATCTGGATTCAGTTATAGAATAATGATAAACAGATAAATATCCTACGAAGTACTTCATACAACAAAGATAAGAGAGAGAGATTAGAGAAGAAACCATCCAATCGGCATCATGTTTCATGTGATCAAATGGAGAAAGGACGCATGATATATACTAGTATCAGTACTTCCTTCGTTCGAGAAAGAATGCAATTATAGTATAATATTATGTTTTAATATCTTAAATTTGACTAATTATAGATAAAAAATATCAATATTTATGATATCCAATAGATATCATTAGATTAATTATAAAATATATTTTATAATAAATTAATTTGAGGCTATAAACCCAAACGCTATTCATTATAAACTTAGGTCAAATAAACGTAAACCATTTTAACCGGCACGTAACTTTTGCAGGAGGGAGGTAGTGTATAAAGGCACACAGGTGTGCGCAACTGCAAAGTGTGCCTCCGGCCTAACCCACCGACTGCTGCACAGCTGAAACATTGCCTTTTTCCTCCCACGCGGTCCCACTCGCAGCCTCCGTTGTCCGCAGTCCGCAATCCTCTGCTCTCTCTCTTTTTCATCTTGTGCATGAAAGATGGCTAGTCCGTCCGGCGGCTAGAACGAGCATGCGCGAACAGCCGCCGCATGCCCGCATGCATGGGATTACGCTCAAAATTTCCAAGAGCCGTGGCATGCGTCCGAAAAAGCGCAAAGCGATTCCACGCATGACGCTACACTACAGGCTCGCATCGCCGGGTTCCGAAAAGAGCCGACACCACACATGCATGGGCAGTGATCGAAAAAGCGCAAAGCGACGCCTGACAAGCATGACGCTACACTACATGTTCGCTTGTTGGCTCGCATCGCCGGGTCGTGCCACTGCGAAAAGCAAATCAATGAGGAGACAGTGTTTGGCGAGGCGACGTACAGGGCAGGCCTCAAGCATGGGAAGATTTTTTCGTGCTGACCAGTGACCACGGATGGATTCACATTCACAGGTTCCCTAAAGCCGAGGATCCGGGCGGCGTGCAGTGGCCGTGAGTCAGTGAGCAACAGCGAAATGGTGGTAAGGTTTTGCTTCGATAGCCACCACAAAGGACAGCACCAGACCCAGATAAGCTGCTTTCTTGGACTTTTGGAGATCGTGGCAGTTCTGCCAGTCGAGATGAACCACTAGCAGCCTTTTCTGCAGGCGCAGCGACAAGAGTGTAGGTTCACGAACGTCTGGATGACATGGAATCATGTTCCACGATTGGGTGTGCCGCCCGTGGGCTTTGCGGCACTTTGCGACGCACTCACACACAGCTAGTCTTCTTTTCTTTTCTTTTTTACTTTTGTACAAGATTAAAAAACACTCGGAACAGCTTAAACATGTGTCCTTGGTTGTGAGTTGTGACGTGCCTCTGTACTGCTCTTTTCATCTTTTGCTGTCACACGTTCTAAGATCATCGAAAGAGAGCAAAGTATATGTGCTGATGAATTATTGGTACTACTCTGTTCATCTTTTGCTCGATCGCACCTCGCCGACGTCTCCATGAAATCATCTCATGTCAGTGTCTTACCTTGCCCTGTCCAACGACAGTCCACTTCCACGAGTCTCTCGTCCTCGTCTATATATAAATTCAGCCCCTACCCTACCCGTTAGCTACTCTGAAGTTCAGGCGCGCGCACACACACACACACACACACAGTTTACACTTCAAGCTCTCATTGGTCCTGTCACCACTCACCAGTGATGGCCGGCGGACAGCGGCGTCGGTCGGGGGCGGCGGACGTGGCGTCGTGGTGCTCCCTGCTGGCGCTCGTGATGGTCGTTGGGTCGCTCGCCGGGTCGGGGGACGAGGAGGAGCAGTACAACAGAGGCGGGTTGGTGGTGCGCGGGGCGCGGCTGGTGGCGCGGCCGTGCGACGAGCTGTACGTGGTGGCGAAGGGGGAGACGCTGCACAGCATCAGCGCCAGGTGCGGCGACCCCTACATCCTGGAGCACAACCCGCACGTCCACGACCCCGACGACGTCTTCCCCGGCCTTGTCATCAAGATCACGCCGCGCGCCGGCAACTCCAACTCCAACTCCGCCGGCGCCAACATGTGAAACGGTGGATCACGCGCATGTATGTATGTATGTATGTATCGCCCGGAACGTCCTGCCGATGGAACGCGAGGCGCCGACGTGAGCAGTCGGGCACGGGCAGGAACTCTCTCGTTGTGTTTCCAGTCGTGTCTTGTAAATACTGCCTGTGAGAAGGGCTCGACTACGAGCAGAAATAAGAGGTCACATTATGCTTGCACTAGGCATCTTTTTTTGACAAAGGATAACTCTGCTTTAATAAGAAAACAAATATGTTTATACATCGTCTGCGAATTGCTGGGATACCAGCTTACAAAGTAAGCACGGGGAAACCGATAACAGCAGCAAACTACTGAAGTTTAAAACCACACCCTCCCAAAAGCAACCGTGACACGCAGGCCAAAAACAAGATTAGAAGAGAAACCATCCTCTCTCACACTACCATTACAGAAGCTCCTCCATATCTTGAGGCTTCTTGTTCTTCAGGAAGTGCTCCATCATATGTTTCACCTTTGATTTATCCACCGGCTTCAGTAAGATCTTCCATTTGTGCAGAAAGTTGGACATTTGAATAACAATTCAGTTAAGGAAAACAGGATGAACAGATTCTAGGGGAATTACAGATAATGCAGTTAGCGCTCCCCTTCCATTTTCTTTGTTTCAGAACTACTCCTGTAGTCCTGTTTGGAATCATAGCAAATTAGCAAGCCATGAAAACTTTCAGCTATAGAGGCATCCAACTATACACTGATTTCGAAGAATACTCCACAATTTCTTCCTTCTATTGTATAGAACCCCTTTGAAGATTTTACACCTATGCATTGATTTCGTGGAATATACTCCTTGTTTCTCCATCTTCTATGAAATTATGTCTTCCTCATCATTAACTACAACTTTCTGTAATTTTCCAACAGCCATTCCCACTCTGTAACTTTCTCTGTCCCAAATTTTCTCACAAAATATAAAATCCATTCTTCTCCACCCCAGCATTCCCTGACAAGAGCCTCTTCTTTTTTTATTTCTGCAATATGCATAAATTCTTGGGAAGGCAAGTTTTAACGGAATCTCTGGCCATACATCATCCCAAAATAAGGCGTTGTGGCCATATGTCCATGTCCTGTAAAGCAAGACAGGGAGGCCGAATCAAACATAGATTACAAATACTATATACCAGTTCATGTATGAAAAGCATGCACATGATACCTGTAAAATAATCTCAAGATTGGCAAGTAAACTCTCCTGCTTGCTGCTCACAACAAATTCGTCTGACGCATATCGTCATCCAGCTCCGTTTAAAAAGCTCACCATCCCGTCTGCATGCTATACACCTCCTCCATTCCTCGCAGCTCATCTTTGCACCGTAGAACAACCGCGCAGTGTTTTATTTAAACATCTACTCTTGATCTACCCACGAGCTAACTCCGAATATATAAGCGAGCCGAACTTTTCTCCTATCTGATCACTGCTGTTGCTGAATTACCCGGCGAAAATGGCGCCTGGGCTTGCCAGCTCGGCCGCGCTGGGGGTTTTGGCCGTCGTTCTTGGTTCCTCATTCCTCGTCGCACTCTCGGAGGATGGTTCGTGCCGGACTGCATGCCGTGAATACGATCATGCGTTTTTTTTTTGGAATCTCTGCGGTTTAGCAACGTGTGAATTGGCATGGTCATTTGTATGTGCAGAACCACTGGAGAACCTGCGGTTCGTGCGCCACGCACAGGACGCGCCCCTGGTGTCGCAGTACAACTACATCGTCATCGGCGGCGGCACGGCGGGGTGCCCGCTGGCGGCGACGCTGTCGGAGCACTCGCGCGTGCTGCTCCTGGAGCGTGGGGGCCTGCCCTACCGCAACATGTCCAACCAGCAGCACTTCACGGACGCGCTGGCGGACACGTCCCCGGCGTCGCCCGCGCAGCGGTTCGTCTCCGAGGACGGCGTGGTGAACGCGCGGGCGCGGGTGCTGGGCGGCGGGAGCTGCCTCAACGCCGGGTTCTACACCCGGGCCAGCAACGACTACGTGCGCGCCGCCGGGTGGGACACCCGCCTCGTCAACTCGTCCTACCGCTGGGTGGAGCGCGCGCTCGTGTTCCGCCCCGACGTGCCCCCGTGGCAGGCCGCGCTCCGCGACGCGCTGCTCGAGGCCGGCGTCACGCCCGACAACGGGTTCACCTTCGACCACGTCCCGGGCACCAAGATCGGGGGCACCATCTTCGACAACAGCGGCCAGCGGCACACCGCCGCCGACTTCCTCCGCCACGCGCGACCCAGGGGGCTCACCGTGTTCCTCTACGCTACCGTCTCGAGGATCCTCTTCAGGCAACAAGAGGGTGTGCCGTACCCGGTGGCGTACGGCGTGGTGTTCACGGACCCGCTCGGGGTGCAGCACCGGGTGTACCTCCGCGACGGCGCCAAGAACGAGGTGATCCTGTCCGCGGGGACGCTGGGGAGCCCGCAGCTGCTGATGCTGAGCGGCGTCGGCCCGCAGGCGCACCTGGAGGCGCACGGCATCCAGGTGCTGGTCGACCAGCCCATGGTCGGGCAGGGCGTGGCCGACAACCCCATGAACTCGGTGTTCATCCCGTCGCCGGTGCCCGTCACGCTCTCGCTCGTGCAGGTCGTCGGGATCACCCGCTCCGGCAGCTTCATCGAGGGCGTCAGCGGCTCCGAGTTCGGCATCCCCGTCTCTGAGGGCGCCCGCCGCTTAGCTCGCAACTTCGGCCTCTCTCTCCTCAGGTGCTTCCATATATACTGACAACAACGTAGACGGAAATGTACTGACGGACAGTCGTGCGGCAGACCGGGCAGCTGGGCACGCTGCCGCCGAAGCAGAGAACCCCAGAGGCTCTGGAGCGCGCGGCGGAGGCGATGCGGCGGCTGGACAGGCGGGCGTTCCGGGGCGGCTTCATCCTGGAGAAGATCCTGGGCCCCGTCTCCTCCGGCCACATCGAGCTGCGGTCCGCCGACCCGCGGGCGAACCCGGCGGTGACGTTCAACTACTTCCAGGAGTCGGAGGACCTGGAGCGGTGCGTGCACGGCATCCAGACGATCGAGCGGGTGATCCAGTCCCGGGCCTTCGCCAACTTCACCTACGCCAACGCCTCCGTGGAGTCCATCTTCACCGACTCCGCCAACTTCCCCGTCAACCTCCTGCCGCGGCACGTCAACGACTCCCGGACGCCCGAGCAGTACTGCAGGGACACCGTCATGACCATCTGGCACTACCACGGCGGATGCCAGGTCGGCGCCGTCGTCGACGACGATTACCGGGTTTTCGGCGTGCAGCGGCTTAGGGTGATCGACAGCTCCACGTTCAAGTACTCCCCCGGGACCAACCCGCAGGCCACCGTCATGATGCTCGGAAGGTATATGGGGGTCAAAATTCAGGCCGAGAGGTGGAGGAAATGATCGAGAGCGAGTGGTTTCAGCATGGTCTAGGCTGTGATAATGAATATCAACACATCTGTAACTGGGTAACTGCTTTAGAGTAGGCTTTATTTTTCTCTAGACATTCTTTTAATCTCCTCTAGGCATACTTCTAGCTTCCGCTTGTTGATTCCAATCCGTCACACCCCTTGAGATGCATTGCTCAGCATTTCGCGAGAACAATGAGAATTATGCTGCAAAGGCATGATCAAGAAATAGAGGAATTCGCGATTTCATCAAAAAACCCAAAAGGGGAAAACACTTCAAAATACTCTGCAGGATCAATTTACACTCTAAACACTTACTGTTCCAGGATTTACATGGAATATCTTTAATTTTTCTATATACAGGTAAAGGTACACAATACAGGTACAAATCGATTGGCTACTTATATGTACAATAAACGAATAGAGAAAAATGGCAAGGCGAGAAAGCCCTATTAGCATTTCCCCTGCTTGCCCTGCAACCAGTACCACTTGCAAAATTTTCACACTATCTATGCTCTCAAGAAATATTGTAAGCTAGTGCTCTATCTTTGAGATCTCCAGGGTCCCTCAGTGGCCATCAGACATTATATAATTGCACAACTAAAGTTTATATTGTGAGGTTCTCCTGGATGGCCGTAAATGAGCCACAGATGTTCCCACCCAAATCTGGGAATGTTGTGCATCCTGGTAGTGGTTTCACCTTGCCTTTACGGTCAACGCTTACTGGATACTTCATGAGGTGGCCTCTCATCTCTGTCACCTCATCGGCAACAAACTGCTTCCAATTCTCTTCCCCAAGATGCCGTACACGCCTCATGCATTCCAGGCTCTCTGGATAGTTGAAGTCTTCCTCAATGCTTCCAATATGCTCGGCCCATAAGGACATTCTGTAGCTATAAATCTACAAAGTGAAAATCAATCAATAGATTAAACTTAGTGTATGGCACAAGGTGCGTCGTCAAATCAATTGCACCCCTAACATGACAAACAGCTGAAACTAATGTATAGCCTCAGCAAAGCAGTAGCAGTGAGGACATGAAAGTACAAATAATTCCAAGTCCGATCTCATAATAGCAGCTTAGGGGCACAGCCCAGTTTTGTATGTCTCAATAAATTTGGTACACCAGATATTTGTCAGCTTGAGACAAGGGGTAATACCTGTCCACGTGGGGCAGAAAGCTTATTAGCCCATGTATATTGTGGCTGATACGCTCCCATCGCAATCTCAGTGTCTCTTATTCCTTCCATGGATCTCTGGTTAATATTAGCTGATCCAATGATAACATACTCATCGTCCACAATCATGCCTTTTGAATGTACATAGACCATGAATCTCCTATTTTTCCTAGCTTGTTCCTGAACATTAAATGCAAAGTAAGCTTGCATACATGTCATATTCAGGAGAAGAACACGGCGTGAAGAAAGTCAATTTCAACACTGATTCCCGTGAAGGCAAGTAATGTTTAGGTAACGATTACAAGTTCTATCCACAAGTAACAACTTTTTGTAGAGCTAGTTCAGCATCGACAAGACAATTTTTTTGTCGAGCATCCACATGAGTAAGTCAAATCACTTCAGTCATTGACCAAGAAGTTCTTTTCAAACAAAAACCTACATAGATATCTTAGTTTTCCATATAGCCTCTGAGTGTCAAGTGGCCATTTGGCCTTAATGTACGGAAAAAAAAACTTGTACCAATATCCTTTAAGAATCATCATGATATGGGAATTCCCAATAAAATTCAGTGGAAAGGACAAAATCCAAATCTGAATGTTTTCACACTTCAACATACAGTCTAAAGGAACCATATCAGTACTTTGCCAAGAAAAAGGGAAAACTGTTGAGCTAAGTCCACCTAAAGGTCACATAACTCGTACTTTTACCTACACTATTTAATATTCCCTCCATTCCAAATTATAAGACATTTTGGTTTTTCTATATACATTGCTTTTACTTTGCATCTAGACATAGTGTATATCTAAGCAGATAGCAAAAATCATGTATCTAGGAAAGCCAAAACGTCTTATAATTTGGAATGGAGGGAGTACTTAACTAAAATGTTTTTGCAGCAATAAATTAAAATTGCTTTCTAAGTCAGCATAATTTGTTGAACAAAAACAAGAAAGTAGTCACCTGAGGATTATTTGCTGTATTTGAAGCATTTGAAGTGCTAGTGCTGTCAGCAACTTCACGGTTGCCAAGACAGAAGAAGTTTAAATAATCCTGAGGCTCATACATATCATCCAGGCCTACTTCTTTCAAGGCCGTGTATATTGTCTCATACATCATTTGCATGGTTTTATTCTGCAGTGTAAATATAAAAAGACGTGATTAAGCCATATGAAAACATATCATCTACAGGAACACATGAAACAAGAAATGAGCAATGACAACTGTGAATCTAACCTGCCAGTAAAGAATTCGTTGTGTTGCAGCACCAGTTGGATTACCCTCAGGCCACATGGGAACCACTATGTATGCAGAAAACCTTTCATTTGCCTTAATCTTGTTTGCAATTTTGAGAGCAATTTCAATTGGAATTAAATTGTTAGCCCCTGACATGTAATAAAAGTTTGCAAGTGAGATGTGTAGTGAAAAGAGGAAAGGGGTAAACGACTGTAGAATGTTTTTCTGTAAGAAACACTGTGCATTGTACTATATAGAAGAACACAAAGCAAAAGTTGGCACTCATTATTTACCTAAATCCTTGTTTGAATCCCAATTAAATGAAGAACCAATGAAGTACTGATTCTCAATATAAATATAATGTTGGGCTGCCCGGATAGCATGAACATAAGCTGTATGTATGCTCAAGTCAATAAGCACATTCTTTCCACAAACAAGATTCTGTTGGCCAAAGCAGAAGTGTTAGTCAACATCAAAACGGAGAAACCTACAAACATAGTATTGCTAGATGGTAGATAACAGTTACCTTCATGGTTGCTGCTCGTGGATCCTTTGGAAATCCCTTGGCAGAATTTGAATCAATAGACCGAAACACCTGAATTCCAAAGTAAAAGAAAATTCAGTGCTTGCAAGGCAAAATAGCACAAAGGGATAAAAGTTGGTTTTCCTTTTCAACTATGTAGGAATGCTATGAACACCTGAACATGCCATGTCTCTGGATCATTGTCGCCAAAATATATTGCATCATTTATGTTTATAATCTCTGGTATTCTTTCAATGCTGAGCAGAGCATCATCATACGATTTTGCCAACTTTTTAATTCCATGGCGTTTGGCCGCTTTTAACCAACGCTCCTGAAAGTTTTGTAGAACATCATAAGCAGCAGGACCATCGATCTTAGAATGCAAATCATGCCACGGTTCCCTTGGACCACGAGCATCAACTGTCTGCAAAATAATGAGAAGAATTGTTTTCAGGATCAGCACAGAATAAATAAAAAAAATAGGGAAGTGCTAATATTTTTTCCTATGCTAGAAAATGGCAAAGAACTATTATCAGTATTGCCACAAAGAAAAGATAAAGAATAGGTCAATGTTAATATTTGTTTTCTTATGCTAAATATTTTCCTCTTGATAAATTAACAACAAAATATCATAAAAGGTTCCTACATTTTCAGTATTACGAAAATTCTAGGAATCATTACATAAGAAACTGCACAGAAACGAGACTTACATTAAAGTTTGGATTGTGATAATCCTCCTTGTGCTCATTCTGAAGAGTCCGAAATAGAGGATGCCAAGGTGTATCATATCGCCCGCCACATAAATCAAGGCCTCCAACAAAAGCAACTATCTTTCTCCTATAGTTGCCAGCATCAGCATCCACAATAACTGTTTTCTGATGATGAGTAAAAATGGTTCCTGTTTCCTGGTCCACACAAACTTCTTACATAAATAGATGGCACTCAACAAACATAATGCAAGCAGGGGCAACGGCGGCACCACAGTCCACAGTAGGGGGGGGGGGCAAACTATGTTTGATGTACACAAGTACTGTACACGTAGTTTCACCATATTATTCAGTGGAGATTTTGGCTTAATCCCCCTAATTGTTTATTTTCTAGACCCCCCAACCCCGACCCCAAATGCTTTTTCTGGCTTCGCATGTGAATGCAAGATCATTTGATTTTTAAAATAAGAAACAGGTGAGGGTGGGGTACACTATGCTAAATGGTAAAGATTGATGTAATACTTTGTGACCAGAAACAAATATGAACCATCATGAATGGTAAATTTGTACGACATCATTGTCACTATTGACATTTGAGAATAGAAATAACCTGCTGTTTCACCCAGCTGTGGCGCTTTCCAGCAGATCGTGGGCACAGCAACACTTGGACTGAAGAATGCTTGAAAAATCTGCGTGTCTCCTCATCTCGTGTGCCCATGAAACCATCCTATGAGTGGAACTTTGATAAACATGAAGCACTCGATTCTTAAACATCATGAAATATGCGAAAAACATGTTACCAAATGCCTAGTGAATAAACTACCAAACTACCCATGGAGAATTTAGCGAATAAGCTACCAAACTACCCATGGAGAATCTAGTAAAACTAATTTGATGTTATAGACGTTGGCACATTTTTCTATAAACTTGGTTAAAGTTAGAGAAGTTTGACTTAGGACAAAGCTAAAGTGAACTATAATTTAGAACGGATAGAGTATGTCATAGGGAAGCTGGACACTACATTGATGAATATCCACTTAATACTATACAGTACAGATGACAGCTAGTATTTCTGCAAATCATTTACTTGAACACCACAGAAACAAATACAAAGGTTACATCATAGTTTGCTCAATGCCATAAAGTTTAATCATGAAATTGGTGTACCGGTTCCAATAACAGAGAAATATCATAAGCGCTACCATGCAACTAATTTGAAAAGGCAGGTAATAAGTATTTTAACATTGACAGCATTAGAGTTTCAAGACACAAAATTATGTCTTTTGTAGCGTGAAGACCTTAAAGCAGCATATTTTCAACTTGATAGATAATAATACATACCAACTTATATCCAAGAAT